AGATGGCTCAGGAGTTAAGCGCACTGGCTGCTCTTACAGAGAACCTGGTTTGGTTCCCAGAACACACATAGCAGCTAACAACCACCTGTAACTCCAGTTCCAAGGGAATCTGAAGCCCTCTTCTAGCCTCTGTGGGCCACACGGTACACCTACATACATGCAGGCAAAACACTCATACACATAAAAAATTTAAAACATAAATTAGTTAATGACCTGGACTTGGTGGCATGTGCCTTTAATTCCAGCACCAGGGAGGCAGAGGCAGGTGAATCTCTGTGAGATCAAGGCCAGCCTGATCTACATAGCAAGTTCTAGGCCAGCTGAGGCTATAGGGAGACCCTGTCTCAAAAAACTTAAAAAATATAGATATATATGTGTGTGTGTAATAAAAAAAAAAAAAAGCTGGGTGTGGTGGTATATGCCTCTGATCCTAGCACTCAGGAATCCGAGGCAGGCAGATCTCTGTGGGATCAAGGCCAGCTTTGTCTACATAGCAACTTCCAGGCCAGCTGGGGCTATTTTGAGACCCTGTCTCAAATCCCAAAAAAACAACAAATAAATTAATTAAATAAAAGAAGACTAAAATAAAATTAAGCATCTTTCCCACCCATCCCATGGTATGAAAGCAGAAATTTAATACTGGCAGCAATTTCAGAATACCCACAAATATACGGAAAATAAGCAACACATTCACCAAAATGTCAATAAAAAAATTTAAAGATAAATGCAGCAAAAAATCATTGTATGAGGGAGATAAATATCTCCATCAAAAAAGATGAGCCAGACATGGTGGTGAAGGCCTATAATTCCAGTGCTTGGGAGGCAGAGGCAAGAGAATCAGGAATTTTAGGTCAGCTATAGCTACCTGAGACCCTGCCTCAAAAAAGGCTGGGGGGCAAAGGGAGGGGGAGCCCTGATAACCTGAGTTCAGTCCCTGGGATCCTCATGGCGAAAGGAAGGAACTGACTCCTCAGTGTTGGCCTCTGACCTCCGCATTCATGTGTGTATACACACACACACTAAGATAAATATTTTTTTTACAGCTTGAAAGTACCATAATGATACCTAATACTCTATATGCTAATTTAAAATGAATTAAAAACTCCAAAAAACAAAATGGTGGGCTGGAGCTGTAACTCAGTTGATAGAATGCTTACCCAGCCAGCATACACAAAGCCCTAGGTTCCACCCGCAGCACGGCATAAACCAAACATGATGGTGCATGCCAGTAATCCTAGCACTTGAAGGTAGAGACAGAAGAATCAAGGGTTCATGTTCATCCTGGACTCCATGAGATTCTGTCTCAATAAGTAAAAATAATAATAAAAAAAACAAAAGGAGCTGGGTGTGGTGCTGGTGCACACCTTCACTACCAGCATTCAGGAGGCAGAAGCAGGCAGATCTCTTGAGACTGAGGACAGCCTGGTCTATATATCAAGTCCAGGCCAGCTGGACAATAAATATGAAAATGAAATTTTAAAAATGGCTGGGGGGATGGTCCAGTGGTTAAAGCACTTAACAGGCAAGTGTGTATCAGAGCCCACATAAAATGCCAGGTGGGTGTGGTGGCCTGCCTGTAATTCCAGCCTCAGAAGGCAGAGATGGGCTCCCCAGAGCAAGCTGGCAAGTGAAACTAGCCTTATCAATGAGCTCATGTATTCCAGGTTGATCTTTATCTTCTGATCCTCCTGCCTCCATCTCTCCAAAGCACTGCAATTACAGAGATGCAACACCACTTCCGGTTTTATGTGAGTGTGAGGCTTGTGCATTCTAGGCCAGCACCCCGCCAACTGAGCTACATCCTCAGCTCTGAACTCTGAGCTTTAGTTAATGGCCTCACAATTCTTGAGCATCCAGTCTCCTGCCCCCACACCTGTGTCCTGATTGCGCACATGTTTAGGTACAAGGCCCCTAGTTCAGACCCCCTCCTCTCCTCCTCCCACGAAGGCTTTTGATGGGACAAGCTGTAACCTGTAAGGTGGAAAAGTGGGCACACACTAAGACCTCCCACCAAAACTTGGCCTCAGACCACTAATGGAGCAAGTAGCGGGGGCAGTGGGCTGTAGCGGGCAAAGTGGCCTGCCACGCCGCGTCCCCAAGCCCTCAGCCACGCCGAGCGGCGTCCGAATTCAGTCTCACCCACCCAGATCCAGAGACGGTAGGGGGCCGCTTGAGTAGCTCGCGGGCTTGGGAGGATTGCATTCGCTTTGCAAAAGGACCTCTGGGTGCCACGGCCAGCTCGTGCAAGGGTTGAACCTCCAAGCCACGCCCCGAATCTGAGCCGAGTCCCAAAAGTTCCATCCCAAGCGCTGTCCATTGAGTCCAGCTTCAGCTATAAGCCACGCCCTCACAGTCAAGGCTCTAAATTCCATCCATCAAGCCTCACGCTAATCTCCACCCACTAAGTCCCACCCCAGGTGCCATACTGAAGGCCCGCCCTCACATACCGTTACTCTAGCCTTAACTCCATCTCTAACTCTGCCCGCCGGGTCACCGGTATCCTCCCGAATCCTTTGCCCCATTCCCGCGAGGATCATGTTAATCAAAAGAAAGAAGTAATGCTTTGTAAGGGAATCTTGCTTTGCCTCCCTCAGACACCGCGTTACCTGGATTCTGGCTTCGCAGTCCATCTTTTTTGTAGTTGTGGTTGTTAAAACAGTTTTATTGGCCGGTTGTGTTGGTGCATGCCTGTAATCCCAGCACTCAGGAGGCAGAGGCAGCCCCGCCTCTGTAAGATCCAGGCCAGTTTAGTCTACATAGGGCGTTCCAGGCCAGCTTCAGGTACAGGGAGACCCTGTTTCAAAAAACAAAAACAAAAACCAACCAACCAAACAAACAACAACAACAAGAAGACATTAAATGTAGCCAGGCATGGTGGTGCACACCTTTAATTCCAGCACTCAATCAAGGCCAGCCTGGTCTACATAGTGAGTTCCAGGCTAACTGGGGCTACATAGCAATAACTTGTCTCAACCCCCACCCATTTCCTCTGACCTCCCTATGATTGCTTTCTCCTGCTCTCTCTCTCTCTCTCTCTCTCTCTCTCTCTCTCTCTCTCTCCTCTCTCTCTCTTCTCTCTCTCTCTCTCTCACACACACACACTGATAAAATTAAAATATAAGAAAAATTAAAGACTGAGAATCTACAAGGAACCCATGAGAGGAAGGAAAAAAGAGACTTTAAGAGAGAGCAGTGGGGAGGGTATTGGAACACGTATGGTAAGATAGTAGAAATAGGGTCTGATGAAATGGCTCAGAGGTAAAGGCACTTTCTGCCAGGGCTTAAGACCAGAGTTTTGAGACACATGCACACCTGCACGCAGATGTGTGCACACAAAATAAATAATAATAAAAAGATAGTGTAAGGCTGAACACTGAAGGGGGCGGGGATTTAGGCAGGGATAGGAGAGCACAGACGGAGGAGAGGAGATGGAATGGTTAACTAAAGCTAAATATATATGAGTTATAGGAAACCAGAGAAAGAAGGAAAGAAGGAAGAAAAAAAGGAAGGAGGGAGGGAGGAGAAAGGAAGGGAGGGTACTCTTGGACTGGGTCTGTAGCTCAGTTGTTAGAACACTTGTCAAGGATGCAGGAAGCCCTGAGTTCAACCCCTGGCTTACATAACCCAGGCCTGGTGGTATACACTGTCATCCCAGCACTCAGAAGGCAGAGGCAGGAGGATTAGGAGTGCAAGAACATCCTTGGCAGGCGGGAAAGATGGCTCAGAGGTTAAGAGCACTGTCTACTCTTGCAGAAGACCTGGGTTCAGTTCCCAGAACACACATGGCAACTCACAACTCTCCACAACTCCAGTTCCAGGGGATCCAATACCTTCTCTGGCCTCTGTGAGAATTGTATAACCTGAGTGCAGTCACATACATGCAGTCAAAACACTCATACACATTAAAATGCAAATAAATAAAATTAATAAAAATTAAAAAAATTATTAAAATGTTTGTATTTGGTTACATAGTGAGTTTGAGATTAGCCTGGATGTCTCAAAAATAATTCAAAAATTAAAGTGGAGCCAGGTATGGTAGCACATGCCTTTAGTCCCAGCCCTCAGGAGGCAGAGGCAGGCAGATCTCTGTGAGATGGAGACCAGCCTGGTCTACATAGTGAGTGTCAGGCCAGCTGAGGCTACAGTGATACTCTGTTTCAAAAAGATACACACACACACACACACACACACACACACACACGTTAAAGTGTACCATTACTACAATCAGATTTGAGTAGGAAAAGTACTCTCCAGTAGACACCCTTCTGTGCACTCCTTGTCTTGGACTGTGGCCACCACGGATATACTTTCTGTTTCTATGAATTTGCTTACTTTCAAAATCAGGGCATTTCTTTGGCATGATAAGTCATCTGTTCATAAGGTGAGCAAGATGGGGGTGGGCAGCTAGGGAATGACTTCCTCTTAGGGGTCTAAGCAGCCTGAGGCTTATGGGTAGAAAGCTCATGTCTACTCTAGATGTATACAGGTGAGGGACTTGGAGAAGGCAAAGGGCACTGCTGTGACAGAGAGAGGGTTGGGGGCTGAAATGGAACAGGAGAGACCTCAAGGCTCATAGTACAGCAGGCTTGTGAGAGATGGGTAGAGGGGCAGGGCTTGGTCTATCTACACAGGAGGGAGAAACAAAGCAGGTAGGGAGGAGTAGCAGGAGGAGGGAGGGAGAGAAGAGAGAGGGCAGGTCTTGGCTGGGTGGGGCTCTGACTATAAAGGGTGAAGCCAGCCAGTTGACCCCACTGTCGATTTACTCTACAAGCAGACACGAGCCCCCAGGACCCCAAAGGCACTGGTGAGTCCTTTCTGACTATAGCGAAGACTAGAGCTGCTTCCTCCTGCTCCAAATATACCTGTCCTTCACCTCCTGCCTCTCTTCTAGAGAGTTCCAGGGCCTGGCTTGAGCTGCTGCTGTCTCTATCACCCACTCCTCCTTCCACAGGTATCCTGCTAAACCTTCAGGCACCCAGAGAAGAGATCTAACCTGCACCATGAAACTATGGCCCTTTGCCTGCCTGGTAGCCTGCTTCGTGGGGGCCTGGGTCCCGACTGTCCATGCCCAAGGTACAGTCTTCAGTCACACCTATCCTGCCCCACTTCCTCAGACCCTTCTTTCTCTTTCCAAACTCCCTGACCTCCTTTCTCCCCTCATTTGTCCCTCCCACTTCCTGAATTCTCCCCTGACCCTATCTCCATTGAGTTCTTCAAAGAGCATAGCAGGAATTCTTGGCACTAGTGGAGGTGGAGGGGGATAGAGGGCCCCCATATACTTACTCCAGAGCCCCTCGCCTCCACCCTATGGTATCTCCTTTGCAGGGCTCTAGTGGTCTAGGACTGCAGGAAGCAGAGGGTGGCTTTTCAATGGGGCAAATCCACTTACAATTGGAAATGCGCTGTCCTTCCTTTGACTAGTTAGGGATGCAGGGTGAGTCTTAGAACCCTGGCCCCCTTCTGAATTAAATTCTCTGCCTTTCCTTCTCTGTGCAGCCTGGCCAAAGGGAGTTGCTCCTTCAACCTTTGTGGGCCTCAGTTTCCTCATCTGCCAAGAGCCTAAAACTCCCACTGCATGAAGCAGACATTAATGTTCCAATGGGTTAACGCCCAGCCCTGTGCTCATGGAACCATTTCCAGCTTCTTTCTCACCCTGCTCCAGAGAGGGAACTTGAGGACTTCAGTCACCCAATGCAGATTCTTGGTGTGCAGCATCCCCAACGAACCCTGATACTCAATGCTGCATTCCCCAGGGCCCTATAGAAAGCACTGAGTCCCAGCAGGAGTCAAAGCAGGGTCCCTGGCTAGTTTGAAGGCATAAGACCTTCCTGCCCTGCCTGCCTTTCTACTGTAGGTCCCACAGGTCCAAGCCTGGTTCCCAGCAGCGCCTACCCTTTGCCCAAGAGGGAGGCTAGGTGTTTGTTATCAGAGCCCAACCCAGCCCCTGCCCTTTGATCCGGGGGCAGGGGGGAGTGGCCCCCAGCATTGGAAAACACCTGCTGAGGAGCCTTGGAGCCCCAGATCCTATCTGACACCTCTTGTCCTCAAGGGCCAAGGTTAAGGGATGTGAGGAATGCTGAGCTCTCTCCCTGCACCACTGGACTTGAACTCAGACTTGGCCCCTGGAGGTAGGCTGTAGTGAAGTGGGGCTTGCAGATAACCTTAAAAGCTAGCTGGGCAGAGGAACCCACCATCTCATCAATTCCTTTGCACATTTATTTTATCCACTCCTCTTCCAAGATCTTTCTAGAATCATTTACTACGCAGATAGACAACCCCCTCCCCAGTACCCACGCATCCTTTCTTTGCATAGATGGCTTCCCTGTCTTCCACCGAGGCTGGAACTCCCCTGAAACACTAGGTCTAATTCATCTCTGTGTTGTCCTAACATTTGGCACCTAATTTCTGTGAGTTCAAGGCCAGCCTGGTCTATATAGCAAGTTCCAGGCCAGCTGGGGCACAGGGAGACCCTGTCTCAACACCCCCAATTCCTCCCCAAATAACCCTACCCCCCCCAACAAAAAACCCTAAATGCTTTTGTTAGACCAACTGGGAAACTGACAAAGGACTCTGTGTCTCACCTGGTCAGCCTAGTGGTTACTATGATGGGTTTAGAGAAGAAAAGGGATTTGAGCTGGTCCCATGTGGGAACAGGCCAGCCTGTACATGGAGCTGAGACCTTAAGAAAAGTTGACTAGTCAGTTTGTTTGCTCATTTAAAATTATGTTTTTATTTCTTTATTTATGTGCCTGTGTGTATATGTGTGTGGGTGTGTGTGTGCCACAGTGCATATGTGGAGGTCAGAGGATAACTTGCAGGAGTCGGCTCTCTCCTTCCACCATGTGGATTCTGAGGATCAGACTCAGGTTGTCAGACTTGGTGGCAGGTTGTCTTTACCTGATGAGCTATCTCACTGGTCTCCCTCTTCTTCTTCCCTTCCTCCCTCCCTTCCTTCCTTCCAAGACAGAACCCACATATCTCAGGCTGGTCTCAAAGTTGCTATGTAGTCTAGGATGACCTTGAACTCCTGATCTTCCTATCTCCATTACCAAGTGCTGGGATTATAGGTGTGCATTTGGTGTACATGGTTCTGGTGATGGAAACTAAGGCCTCATACACACAACTGTGTATGTGTGTGTCTGTGTATGTATGTAGTTTGCTCTTTCCATTATGTGGGTTCTGGGGATTGAACTCAGATTGTCAGGCTTGGCAGCAAGCACCTTCACCCACTGAGTCATCATTCCTGCAGGTGCCATTGAAGACTGCTGTCTGGGTTACCAACGTAACACCAAATGGCACATTCTCCGGCGTGCCACTCGTTACCGGGACCAGCTAGTGAGCGGAAGCTGCAACCTCCGTGCTGTGATGTGAGCAGGACTGTGAGGGGTGCTGGGTGCTGTTCACATAGCTTCCTCCTCACTCACCTGCCTCTCCGTCCTCTATAGATTCTACTTCCGCATGAATAAGGTGGTGTGTGGGAACCCGCAGGACAAGGATGTGCAGAGGGCCATGAATATCTTGAGTGCCAGGAAGAAGTTTGACAACTCAAATAGCTCCCCAGGTGGGTAAGATCCCAGCCCAGCATCTCAGTCCTTGAATGGGAAAACTCACAGGCTCAAATAACCAGCTACTGCTTCAGGTTCAGATGAATCCAGGGTATTAGTGTGGGACTGGAGAGATGGCTCAGTGGTTAAGAGCACTGGCTGATCGTTCAGAGGACAGGGTTCAATTCCCAGCAGATGACTAATGACCATCAGTAACTACAGTTCCACGGGCTCCAACTCCCTTTTCTGGTCCCTGTGGGCATTGCACACATGGGTGCACTTATATACATGCATACAAAACACTCATACACATAAAAATAACAAAGTCCAAAACCAGTTTTTTCTGAGACAGGGTCTCCCTGTAGCCCGAACTGGCCTGGAACTTACTATGTAGACCAGGCTGACCTCTATCTCACAGAGATTCTCCTGCCTCTGCCTTCTGAGTGCTGGGATTAAAGGTGTGTGCCACCATGCCTAGCTCAAGAAAAATTAAAAATAAAAGGTATTCATAAATATATTTTTTGGACGTGATCTCACTGTATAACCCTGGTTGGCTTTGAAATGGCTACATAAGACCCAGCATGGTGGCCTACACCTTTAATCCCAGCACTCAGGAGGCAGAGGCAGGCAGATCTCTGAGACTGAAGCCAGCCTGGTCTACATACTGAGTTCCGGGCCAGCTGGGGCTACAGGGAGACCCTGTCTCAATAAACAAACAAACTAACAAAACCACAAAAGAAATAGCTACATAACACAAACTAACCTCGCACGCTGCAACCCACTGCCTCAGCCCAGTTTGGGGATTACAGGTGTACATCACTCAGCTTAGCCACGGAATTTTTACCTGTTCCTCCATTTTCCAATAGCCCTTCAGGCCGAGAGGAAGAAACAGAATCACGAGAGGTCCAAAGTTAAGAACCCTAGCATCCGAGTGAGGAATGCCACCATGAACCATTCCAGGTGAGGACCCTGGTCATATGACCTTCCTCCGTCCATGACATAGCTGGTGCTTGAGGGCTTCATGATGGGTCCAGATGGGGACACAAGCTGTTCACTTCCAGAACCAGGTCTGGCTGTGTGGTCAACCCATTAAATTCACATGTAGAGGTCCAAGGTGACTGCTCATGCCTTTAGCCCAGACTAGGGGTCATTGAGAAATGCTGAGGTAAAAGACCAGGCAGGTGGATCAAAGCTGCTTATCCCCCAGCAGGACAGAAAAACAGTCCTCTCCTCTCACACCATTCAACTCTCTCTCTCTCTCTCTCTCTCTCTCTCTCTCTCTCTCTCTCTCATCACCCTTCCCCCTTTCCTCCTCCCCCCTTTAAAAAAAGTACTTTATTATTTTTATGTGTATGAGTGTATTGTCTGCATGTATAAGTGCACCCATGTCATGCAATGCCCATGGAGATCAGAAGAGGGCATCGGATCCCCTGATAACTGGAGTTACCAATGGTTATTAGCCCCCATGTGGGTACTGGGAATTGAACCTGGGTCCTCTTCAAGAACAGCCAGTGCTTTTAATCACTGAACCATCTCTCCAGCCCCTCCTCCCTCCTTTTCTTTTCTCTCTTTCCTCTCCTCTTTCTTTTCTGTCTCTCCCACCATCCCTCCATCCACTCTCCCTTTCTTTTGCCCTGCCTCCCTCTCCTCCATCCCTTCCTTTCTCCCTTCCTTTTTCTTTCCTTTAAAAATTCTTTTATATTGGTCGATTAATTGGATATACATGTGCACGCATACCATCAGTATGGAGGTCAATGAAGATCTTATAAGGGTTGGTTCTCTCCTTCCACCATGGGGGTTCCACCTGATGGAATTCAGGTTGTCAGCATTGGTGACAAGTGCCCCTCTCACTAAGCCATTTTGTCAGTTGTCTCTCTCTCTCCCTCTCTCTCTCTCTCTCCCTTTCTCCTCTTTCTCTCTTTTTCAGTATTTTTTTTTCAAACAGTGTCTCATGTATCTTAGCCTCCCTGTGTAGCCGAGGACGACCTTGAACTTCTCTGATGCTCCTGTCAGTAGGATCACAGTAATGTACAACCATGCCTGGTTTATGTGATGCTGGGCATGGAACCCAGGGCTTTGTGCAAGCACTGTACCAACTGAGCCCTGGCCCCAGCCTCCCTCTCTCCCTCTCCCTCTCTCCCTCCCTCCCTCGTTTCATCTCTCCTTCCTTCCTATCTACCTCTCTGTATACTAGGACTTGAACTCAAGACCTTGTGCATGCTAGATAAGCACTCTACCCCTGAGCTACATTCTCAACCTTTTTAAATTTGGAAAGAGTCACTAAATTGTCCACACTGGCCTTGAGCTCACTCTGTAGTCCAGGCTGACCTGAAACTTTAGATCCTCAACCTGCTTCAGCCTCTCAAATACATGGAGATATAAGCATGTACCACCTTTCCTGGCTTTCAACATAACACTTTATTTATTTATTTATTTATTTATTTATTTATTATTTTGTGCATGTGTGCATGCAAGTGAGCAACTTGTGGGAGTCATTTCTCTCTTTCCACCACGTGGGTCCCAGGGATAGAACTCAGGTCATCAGGTTTTGCAGCAGGTGTTTTTACCCACTGACCATCTCGCTTGCCCTCAACATAACACTTCTGATGCCAGATGTAAAAGGGGTTTCTTCTTATGCATCAAGCAGACAGTAGGAAGGTGTCCTGTAATTTAATTCAACTAGATCCTGATATGGTCTATCTGCAGATTACATCAGATTTCACAGGTTAAGGAAGCATGAGACTGCTCCATTGAAGATGTAAACTCTCAGAGCCTGTTTTCCCATCTGTAGAGTAGGGACAATGCTAAGACTTTCTATTCCACAGGGTGGTCATGACAACCAGAAGGATAAAGAATTAAATCACTCAGACTGAAGAAAAGCTGGAGGATGGAGGAGTGCTGTGAAATGATTTCTTCTAGACACAGTCATTGCACTCATGAACTCACTAAAGCTATGCTTAGCTGGATAAGACCTGCACAGGACTGGACCTATCAACATTCCAGGAGGGATGAGCACAAGGCCCACCTCTCCCTGAGCAGGAGACTGGGTGAGAGCGGTCATTTCCTTCAGTGGTGTAGCTGTGGACGTGTTGCTCACACTCGTCTTTATGACCCCACCGCTGCTCATGAAGTACAGTGGGCCACACAGGAAAAAAAAAGACATGAAAGCCAGAGGGGGGCTTGTTAAGAAAAAGAGGTTCAGTGTGAGTAGGAGATGGATAAGATAAAGTAATGGAAGTATATGTGAAAATGACCAAAACGCTATTATATACATATGTAAAATTGTTAAAGAATTAAAAAATACATTGAAAATTAACTACCCAGAGTAGTGTCTGGCTCTGGGCATGGTGGCACAGGCCTTTAATCCCAGAATTCAGGAGACAGAAGCAGGTGGATTTTTGTGAATTCTAGGCCAGCCTTGTCTACACAGTGAGTTCCAGGTCAGCTGGGGCAACAGGGAAACCCTGTCTCAAACAAACAAACAAACAAACAAAAAAACAAACATAAAAACTCCCAGAGTGATGTTTGGTATGTAGTGTGCTCTCAGGAAGTTGGCACCTGTACTTCTGACTAACTAGCTGTAAATCAGGGGTCCTGTGACCTTCTTCCTTGGGTTCAATCACTTTTGCTACATCATCAGATCCCAAGATTCCTGGTTATTCTATAGAACATTACAAAGGATTTAGATGAGCCAGATGCGGTGACGCATGCCTGTCCTCCCAAAACTCAGGAGGCTGAGGCAAGACCATCAAAAATTTGAAGCCAGCCTGGGCTGCATAGTAAGTTCCAGGCCAGCTTGAGCTATGTAGCAAGACCATGTCTCAAAAACAAACAAACAAACAAAAAAACAAACAAATAAACAAACCCACAAAAGGCAAAAAACAAAAACCAGGGCCTGGAGAGATGGGTCAGCAGTTAAAGAAGACCGGGTTTGGTTCCCAGTACCCACATGGCAGCTAACAACCATCTGTAACTACAGTTCTAGGGCATTTCATGCCTCTTTGGCCTCTGTGATTTCACACATATGATGCACTTGCATACATGCAGGCAAAACACTCATACACATAAAATGAAAATAAAATAAAATATTAAAAAGAAATACTTTCAAAATGAATACTTGGACAGAACCTTTCAACTTGAAAAGCAAGCAAGCAACCAACCAACAAAGATAAATAGAAAAGATAGAACAAATAGGTAAATGGAAGAAATACCTTGGGCTAGGCTAGAGGAGTCAAAACAGAATCTCTCATTCATGTGGAGTTTGGGGTTGTTGTGTAGCAATCTCTGAATTGAAACATTTAGCCCTGGAGGGAGGCTCATTAAGACTAAGGAATTAAGGGATTGGAAAGATGGCTCAGTGGCTAAGAGCACTGGCTGCTCTTCCAGAGGACCTGGGTTCAGTTCCCAGCACCCACATGGTAGCTAACAACCAACCATAACTCCAGTTCCAGGGGATCCAATGCCATTTTCTGGCCTCTGAGGGCATTGCATGACATGGGTGCACTTATATACATGCAATTAAAACACTCATAAAAATAAAAATTAAAAAACAATTTTATTTATTTTTTAAAAAATATTTCATTATTTTATGTGTATGAGTGTTATGCCTGCATGTAGGTAGGTGCACCCGTGTTGTGCAATGCCCATGGAGGACAGAAGAGGCTGTTGGATCCCCTTGGAACTAGAGTTATGGATAAGTTGTTAGCTGCCATGTGGGTGCTGGGATTTGAACCCAGGTCTTCTGCAAGAACAGTTAGTGTTCTTAACTGCTGAGCTATATCTCCAGTCCCAAAATAAAAAACAATTTTAAAGAAAAGACTGAGGAATTAAACAACCTACAAATCTCAGGAAGTCTCTGAAACTGGCGAAATGCACAAGGCCTGTCTTAGTCTGGTTTCTGTTTGGTGTAATAAAACACTGACCAAAGCAATCTGAGGGAGGAAAGGGTTTATTTCTTCTTACAGTTTATAGCTTACAGTCCATAATAGAGGATAGCCAGAGAGGAATTCAGGGCAAGAACCTGGAGGCAGGAACTGAAGCAGAGACCATGGAGTTGGCTGGTTACTGGCTTGCAACTCTGGCCTATGCTCAGCTTGCTTCCTTAAACGACCCAGGACCACCTTGCCCAGGGATGGCATTACCCACAGTGGGTTGGGCCCTCCCACATCACTCACCAATCAAGAAAATGATGTAGAGCCTAATAGAAAAATGTGAAAAATCAAGGAAGACAGGGATTTTAATCTTTTCTCCCCCGGCCACCCCAACTATCAGCAAAGTTCAGCCGACAAGTCTGTGGTTAGAGTGTTGACACAGCTGACTAGAACCACCTGCCTTATGTTCTAATGAACAGCCTCAATTCTGTGTGTCTAAGACAGGCTTCTGCAATGACTTTTAGACAGGGAGTTTTTAAAAAAAATTATTTTTGTTATTTTTATTTTATTTTATGAGTGTATTGCTTGCATGCATGTAAGTGCACCCGTGATGTATGACACCTGTGGAGGTCAGAAGGCCTTGGATTCCCTGGAACTGGAGTTATGGACCGTTGTTAGCTGCTATGTGGGTGCTGGGAATCAAACCCAGGTCCTCTGCAAGAACAGTTAATGCTCTTGACCACTGAGCCCTCTCTCCAGCCCTAGAGAGGGATTTTTCTGAGCATATTTTTCTTTTCCACATTCATAATAATTTTCATGGCTTCAATAGCTAATCAATATGTAAGCTTCCTTCTTATTGTAACCCAGTGCCTAAGGGATAAAAGATACGTGCTTACTTCTCTTCAGGGTTCAGATTTCAAGACTTGTGCCTGTTACGGAGTTTGAAACCACTGGGGAAAAAGTCCACCAGACCCAATTCAAATTTTAATTGGTCAAATTTATTAGGGCTATGGCTGTTCGTGATCCCTAAGTCAGATTTAGGACCCACGGCCCCGAGGGGAGCATGAAACTAACTTATAAAGGCAAGAACCAC